AATATAGTCCCAGTCTATTCAAGCCAATTGTCTCAACTATGGAATCATCCTAGTGAACCTCCTTTGCACTGCCTCCAGTGGCAGTACATCCTTTCTCAAGTAAGGCGACCAAAACTGTACATAGTACTCCAGGAACAAAAACAAAGTTGCTGGAAAAGCTCAGCAGGTCTGGCAGCATCTGTGAAGGAAAAAACAGAGTTAACATTTCGGGTCCAGTGACCCTTCCGCAGAACACAGTACTCCAGGTATAGCCTCACCAGCACCCTATACAGCTGCAGCGTAACATCCCTGTTTTAAAGCTCCATCTCTCTAGCAATGAAGGGCAATATTCCATTTGCCTTCTTAATTACCTGCTGCAAGGGGCACTACGGTGGCTCAGTGGCTAGCACTGCTGCTTCGTAGCGCAAGGGACCCTGGTTCAATTCCACCCTCGGGTGACTGTGTGGAGTTTCCACATTCTCCCCGTGTGTGCGTGGGTTTCCTCCGGGTGCTCTAGTTTCCTCCCACAGTCCAAAGATGTGCAGGCTAGGTGGATTGGCCATGCTAAATTGCCCGTAGTGTTTAGGATGCCTAGATTAGGAGGATGGTTCTGGGTGGGATGCTCTGAGGGTCGGTGTGGACTTGTTGGGCCGAAGGACCTGTTTCCACACTGTAGGGATTCTATGATGATGACCCTCAAACCAACTTTTTATGATTCATGCACAAGGATACCCAGGTCCCTCTGCACAGTAGCATACTGCAATTTTTCACCATTTAAATAGTAGTCCATTTTGCTGCTATTCCTACCAAAATGGATAACGTCACATTTACCAGCATTGCCAGACCCTTGCCTACTCACTTAACCTATCTATATCACTGCAGACTTTCTGTGTCCTCTGCACACTTTGCTCTTCCTCTCATCTTAGTGTCATCTGCAAACTTTGACACAATATACTTGGTCCCCCAACTCTAAATCATCTATGTAAATTGTAAACAATTGCGGTCCCAACACCGATCCTTGAGGCACACCACTAGCCACTGATCACCACCTTCCTTTTGTGAACCATGCTGCATTTGCCTGATAGGACAATTTCTATGCAAGTGTGATGCTATTTCTTCCTTGATCATAGATTCAAGCATTTTCCACACTACAGAAGTTAAGCCAATGGGCCTATACTTACCCACCATTTGTCTACCTCCTTTTGTAAACAGTGGTGTCACATCTGTTGTTTTCCAAACTGTTGGAACCGCACCAGAGTCCAGTGAATTCTGCTAAATTATAATGAGTGCATTTACTATTTCCTCCACCATCTCTTTTAGCACCCTGTCATGCATTCCACCAGGGCCGGGAGGCTTATCCACCTTTTGCCCCATTAACTTGCCCAATGCTACCTGGTTGGTGATAAATGATCATTTTTAGGTCCTCACATGCCGTAACCTCCTTGTCATCAATTCTTTGGCATGTTATTTGTGTCTACCACTGTGAAGACCGACACAAAATACCTGTTCAATGCCTCGGCCATTTCCTCATTTCCCATTATTAAATCCCCCTTCTCATCCTCCAAAGGACCAATGTTTACCCTAGCCCACTCTTTTCGTTTTATATATTTACCGAAACTTTTGCTATCTATTTTTATATTCTGAGCTTGTTTACTCTCATAAACCATTCTTGAATGTGGATAAGTCACTAGGGCTGGATGGATTATTCCCTACAATGGCAGCCTTTTTCCTCGGATGGTGATGGCTAGCATGAGGGGACATAGCTTTAAATTGATGGATGATAGATATAGGACAGATGTCAGAGGCAGGTTCTTTACTCAGAGCTTAGTAAGGGCGTGGAATGCCCTGCCTGCAACAGTAGTAGACTCGCCAACTTTAAGGACATTTAAATGGTCATTGGATAAACATATGGATGATAATGGAATAGTTGAGGTTAGATGGGCTTCAGATTGGTTTCACAGGTCGGCACAACATCGAGGGCCGAAGGGCCTGTACTGTGCTGTAATGTTCTATGTTCTATGTTGAAGAAGGTCAGAAAGGAAATAGCAGATACTCTGAGGATTATTTCCAATCTTCACTGGACACAGTGACTGAGGGGAAGAGTAGGCAGAGAGCAGATGATTAACGCGGAGGGACAGGTGGTCTGAGGTGCATTTGTTTTAATGTGAGAAGTGCAATAGGTAAGGCAGATGAACTTAGGGCTTGGATTAGTACCTGGGAGTATGATGTTATTGCTATCACTGAGACTTGGTTGAGGGAAGGGCAAGATTGGCAACTAAATATCCCAGGATGTAGATGCTTCAGGTGGGATAGAGAGAGAGGGAAAAGGGGTGAAGGAGTTGCATTACTGGTCAAAAAGGATATCACAGCTGTGCTGAGGGAGAGCAGTATGGAGAACTCGAGCAGTGAGGCAATATGGGCAGAGCTCAGAAATAGGAAGGCTGTGGTAACAATGTTGGGGCTGTACTACTGGTCTCACAACAGCAAGCGTGAGATAGAGGCACAAATATGTAGACAGATTATGGAAAGATGTAGGAGCAACAGGGTGGTGGTGATGGGAGATTTTAAACTTCCCAACAGTGACTGGGATTCACTCAGTGTGAGGGGTTTAGATGGAGCAGAATTTGTAAGGAGCATCCAGGAGGGTTTTCTAGAACATTATGTAAGTAGTCCAACTCGGGAAGGGGCCATACTGGACCTGGTGATGGGGAATGAGCCCGGCCAGGTGGTTGAAGGTTCAGTTGGGGATTACTTTGGGAATAGTGATCACAATTCCGTAAGTTTTAGAATACTGATGGACAAAGATGAGAGTGGTCCTAAAGGAAGAGTGCTGAATTGGGGGAAGGCCAACTACAGCAAAATTCAGCAGGAGCTGGGGAATGTGGATTGGGAGCAGCTGTTTGAGGGTAAATCCACATTTGATATGTGGGAGGCTTTTAAAGAGAGGTTGATTAGAGTGCAGGACAGACATCTCCCTGTGAAAATGAGAGATAGAAAGGGCAAGATTAGGGAACCATGGATGACAGGTGAAATTGTAAGACTAGCAAAGAGGAAAAAGCAAGCATAGATAAGGTCTAGGCCACTGAAAACAGACGAAACTTTGGAAGAATATCGGGAAAGTAGGACCAATCTGAAACGAGGAATTAAGAAGGCTAAAAGGGGTCATGAAATATCTTTAGCAAACAGGGTTAGGGAAAATCCGAAAGCCTTTTATTCATAGATAAGGAGCAAGAGGGTAACGAGAGAAAGGGTTGGCCCACTCAAGGACAAAGGAGGGAAGTTATGCGAGGAGTCAGAGAAAATGAGTGAGATTCTTTGTGTCGGTATTCACTGAGGAGAGGGACCTGATGGATGTTGAGGTTAGGGATAGATGTTTGATTACTCTCGGTCAAGTCAGCATAAGGAGTGGGGAAGTGTTGGGTATTCTGAAAGGCATTAGGGTGGACAAGTCCCCAGGCCCGGATGGGATCTATCCCAGGTTACTGAGGGAAGCAAGAGAGGAAATAACTGGGGTCTTACCAGATATCTTTGCAGCATCCTTGAGCACGGGTGAGGTCCCGGAGGACTGGAGAATTGCTAAAATTGTCCCCTTGTTGAAGAAGGGTAGCAAGGATAATCCCGGTAATTATAGACCGGTGAGCCTGAAGTCAATGGTGGGGAAGCTGCTGGAGAAGATACTGAGGGATAAGATCTATTTACATTTGGAAGAAACTGGGTTCAATAGCGATAGACAGCATGGTTTTGTGCAGGGAAGGTCATGTCTTACCAACTTGATAGAATTCTTTGAGGAAGTGACAAAGTTGATAGATGAGGGAAGGGCTGTGGATGTCATATACATGTACTCCAGTAAGGCGTTTGATAAGGTTCCCCATGGTAGGCTGATGGAGAAAGTGAAGTCGCATGAGGTCCAAGGTGTACTAGCTAGATGGATAGAGAACTGGCTGGGCAACAGGAGACAGAGAGTTGTAGTGGAAGGGAGTTTCTCAAAATGGAGAACTGTGACCAGTGGTGTTCCACAGGGATCCGTGTTGGGACCACTGTTGTTTGTGATATACATAAATGATCTGGAGGAAGGTATAGATAGTCTGTTTAGTAAGTTTGCAGATGACACTAAGATTGGTGGAGTAGCAGATAGTGAAGGGGACTGTCGGAGAATGCAGCAGAATATAGATAGATTGGAGAGTTGGGCGGAGAAATGGCAGATGGAGTTCAATCCAGTCAAATGCAAGGTGATGCATTTTGGAAGATCCAATTCAAGAGCGAACTATACGATAAATGGAAAAGCCCTGGGGAAAATTGATGCACCGAGAGATCTGAGTGTTCAGGTCCATTGTACCCTGAAGGTGGCAACGCAGGTGGATAGAGTGGTCAAGAAGGCATACGGCATGCTTTCATTCATCGGACGTGGTATTGAGTACAAGATTTGGCAGGTCATGTTACAGTTGTATAGGACTTTGGTTCGACCACATTTGGAATACTGCATACAGCCACACTACCAAAAAGATGTGGATGCTTTTGAGAGGGTGCAGAGGAGGTTCACCAGGATGTTGCCTGGTATGGAGGGTGCTAGCTATGAAGAGAGGTTGAGTAGATTAGGATTATTTACATTAGAAAGATGGAGGTTGAGGGGGGACCAGATTGAGGTCTACAAAATCATGAGAGGTATAGACAGGGTGGATAGCAAGAAGCTTTTCCCCAGAGTGGGGGACTCAGTTACTAGGGGTCATGATTTCAAGGTGAGAGGGGAAAAGTTTAAGGAAGATATGCGTGTAAAGTTCTTTACGCAGAGGGTGGTGGGTGCCTGGAACGTGTTGCCAGCGGAGGTGGTAGAGGCGGGCATGATAGCATCATTTAAGATGTATCTCGACAGATACATGAATGGGGCAGGGAGCAGAGGGATACAGATCCTTCGAAAATTGGCGACGGGTTTAGATAGAGGATCTGGATCGGCGCAGGCTTGGAAGGCCGAAAGGCCTGTTCCTGTGCTGTAATTTTCTTTGTTCTTTGTTCTTTGTTCACAGGCGAGGTGCCAGAAAACTTGAGGAATGCAAATATGGTTCCGTTGTTTAAAAAGGTATGAAGGAAATGCTGAACAGTTATAGCCAGTTAATCTTACTTTGGTGGTGGGCACATTGTTAGAATCAATCCCGAGAGGTCAGATAAACTGTCACTTAGAAAGGCATAGACTAATCGGGGCTAGTCAGAATGGCTGTGTTAAGAAAGGTCACACCTTACAAATTTGATTGAATTCTGAGGAAGTGAAAAGTAGGATCGATGAGGGTTGTGTAGTGGATATTATCTACATGGATTTTAGCAAGGCATTTTACAAGGTCCCACGTGACAGTCTGGTCAAAAATAAAACCCGTGGGTTGCAGGGTAATGTGTCAAATTGGATCCAAAGTTGGTTTAGTAACAGCAAACAAAGGGTAATGATCGATGGCTGCCCTTGCAAATGGATCGATGTTTGAAGTGGTGTTCCACAGGGCTTAGTGTTGGGACCTCTGCTGTTTGTTTTATACATTAACGATTTGGACTTGAATTTGGGGCGCAATTGGGGAAATGCAGGAAAGTAGACATGAGGAATGTTGGATCAGCCTCGATCCTATTGAATGGCAGAACAGGCTTGAGGGGCCAAATGACTTGCTCCTGTTCCTATTTCTTCTGGTCTAAATGCCACCATTTCCTAGCAGCTTTCAGTTCTGATGAACGGTCACTGGACTCAAAGCATTAACTCTGTTACTGTCTCCACAAGTGTTGCCAGACTTGATGTGTTTTCCAACATTTTCTGATTTTGCGTCAAGAACAATTTAAGGTTGGGCAATAAATGCTAGCCCAGCCAGTGATGTCAACATCCCATGACCTAATAAAATAATGCCTTCCTCTGGCAACCTTACAGCCTCCTGCTACCAGAGCTTTATTGCAACTGATTTCTAAGCAAATCATGCATCTCTCCGGTACTGACTGCTTGGAGACTGCTAATAATGGCACCTCTGCTGTTTGAAGTCTCTTCCCCTATTTGAATACACTTCAGGTGCCTGCTTTCTCCAACAGTTGTAAATCTCAGATGGCTTGCTAGTCATTTATATGAATATATAAAATATAAATAAATAATATGAATTCAAATGACTGCTTGTAAATGTGGTTTTGAACGCAGTGTTTCAATAAAAGGTTAGATCTTCACAGAACTGAAAATCTAAAATCTGTTTTTCCTCCATTTTGTTCTCAAATGGTAGTATGGTATGAACCTTCATAACATTGTAATGTCCAAGCAATTCATTATTTCTTTTTCTGAGTTATGCTGTAAAATAGTAGATAATAAGGATTTATAAGTTGATGTTTAATTTAATGAGCAACTTAATTAAACCTTTGTCGGCTAGAGATCTGTTAACCTTTCGTTTTGTGTTGGTGCTGTTTCTACTAGACCAAAGCCAGTAGCACATCTGTCACGATGCTATGACAGTGACAGTTTTACGCCATCTGTAGATATGCAGCACAATGAACAAAGTCCAGAGAGGATCTATTTTCACAAACAAAGCCGCAGCCCAGAGAGTAGATGCATCAGGGATCCCATGTCCCGAAGTTCAGCACTACGGAGGCAAGCTGTTGAAAACTGGCACCGTAGGCCATATCGTAACAGCACGGAGGGAGAAGAAGGTGATGTGTCAGATGCGGGATCTAGAACAACGGAATCTGAGGCAGAAATATGGGAACCAGAAAGTAAATGTTCAGCAGAGATACAAAAATTTGGATCAAATCGTGCCAAGGCTTACCGACTGGGTGCAAGTAAGTACTGCAATATACCCTGACAGCATGGACACTTTGAAACAAGTAACCACACTTCAAATTCTTAGATAAAAAATAAGAGTTGGAATGATTATCTAAAGGGAAAAAAAAATGGCAGGTATCTTGGGATAAAGCTAGGGAGTGGGACTTAATCATTTGCTCTTGTGGTGAACCAGCAGGGACGCAACAGGACAAATGGCATTCTTCGGTTTTGTAAACGCCTTATAGTTCTGTGGGCAAATACAGTCAGGCCTACTCAATGCAGATACATCCCAGTCTTTCATCATTCAAAAAGTATTCAACTTTTTTTATTTTTCCAACCGTAGTAGACACTGACATCACAAAATCTACAAGGCACAAGTTTGCAAAGTGAGGAAACATTTCTGGCTATGTGCAGCTTTGGAAGCTCAAGAAAGCCAACGCTATTGGATAAAGCAGCTGAAATCCACTAATAAGTTAGTTAGCATCATGATTGTGTTACCATTCCAATGCAATTCAGGTGGGGTTGTAGGTGTGAAGATTGCGAAACCGGGGTATTCTCACTACTTTTTCTGATGAAGGGTCTAGGCCCGAAACGTCAGCCTCTCTGCTCCTATGATGCTGCTTGGCCTGCTGTGTTCATCCAGCCCTGCACCTTGTTGTCTCGGATTCTCCAGCATCTGCAGTTCCTACTATCTCTATTCTCACTACTTTGTTGTTTTTAATCTGTTCATGGGATGTGGGTGTTAATACCCCTAATTCATAGAGACATCGAGATCTACAGCACAGAAAAAATACTCTTCACCCATCAGTCTGTGCCAGTCAAAAACAACCATAAACAAAAACCCATTCTAATCCCATTTTCAAGCACCTGCCCGTGGCCTTGTATGCTTTGGCATTGCAAGCCTACATTTAAATACTTCTTGAACGTTATGACAACTTTTTTCTCTACCATCCTTACAGGTAGTGAGTTCCAGATTCCCACCATCCTTTGGGTGAACTCATCTTTCCTCACGTAGAAACCTAGAAACATAGGTACAGGAGTAGGCCATTCGGCCCTTCGAGCCTGCACCACTGTTCAATACAATCATAGCTGATCATGTAATCTCAGTATCCCATTCTCACCCTCTCTCCATACCCCTTGATCTCTTTAGCCACAAGGGCCACGTCCAGCTCCCTCTTGAATGTATCTAATGAACTGACCCCTACAGCTTCCTCTGGGGGATAATTCCACAGGTTCACAACTCTCTGAGTGAAGAAATTCTTGCTCTTCTTAGTCCTGAATGGCTTACCCCTTATTCTTAGACTGTGATCCCTTGATCTGGACTTCCCAACCTTGGGAACATTCTTCCCACATCTAGCCTGTTCAATCCCTTCCGGATTTTATATATTTCTATGAGATCCCCATCTCATTCTTCTAAAATCCAGCAAATACAAGCCTACTCGATCCAGTCTTTCCCTGTATGTCAATCCTGCCATCCCCAGGAATCTGTCTGGTGAACCTTCGCTGGTTTAGGTTTAGAATAGTTTAGGTTAGATAGGCTTCAGATTGGTTTCACAGGTCGGCGCAACATCGAGGGCCGAAGGGCCTGTGCTGTGCTGTAATGTTCTATGTTCTATGTTCTATGGTCTCCCTCAATAGCAAGAATGTCCTTCGTCAGACTATGAGACCAAAACTGCACACAATACTCAATACTCAAGGTGTGGCCTCACAAAGGCCCTGTATAACTGCAGCAAGACATCCTTACTCTGATATTCAAATTCTCTCGCTATGAAGGCCACATGCCATTAGCTTTCCTCACCGCCTGCTGCATCTGCATGCCAACCTTCAGTGACTGTTCCACCATGACACCCAGGTCTCGTTGCACCTCACCTTTTCCTAAACTGCCACCATTCAGATAATAATCTGCCTTCTTGTTTTTGTGACAAAAATGGATAGCCTCACATTTATCTACATTATATTGCATTTGCCAAGTATTCGCCCACTCAGCCAGTCTGTCCAAGTCACCCTGCAGCCTCTTAGCATTCTCCTCACAGCACACCCTGCCACCCAGTTTGATTGGTTGATTTATTGTCATGCGTACTGAAATACAGTGAAAAGCTATGTTTACGAGCAGTACAGGCAGATCATAGCAAGCAAAGGATGTACAGATCGAAAAGACTTAGAGGCATACAGGTGATTTTGCAGATTACATTATTTGAGGCAAGAGTCCATTCAACAGTCTGACAATGACCGGAAATAAGCTGTTCCTGAACCTGCTTGTGTGTCTGTTCAGGCTTCTGTATCTTCTGCCTGATGGAAGAGGTTGTAGGAGATCATTACCAGGGTGCGATGGGTCTTTGATGATGTTGTCAGCCTTTCTGCGGCAGCAAGCTGTGTAAATGGAGTCCATGGATGGAAGGTTAGCTTCAGTAATGGTCCGGGCTGTGCACACCATCTTTTATTGTTTCTTACAGTCATGGGCAGAGCAGTTGCCGTACCAGGCCATTATGCACCCGGGCAGTATGCTTTCAATGGTGCATCTGTAGAAGTTGGTGAGGGACCTTATGGACACGGCAAATTTCCTGAGTCACCTGAGGAAGAAAAGGCATTGTTGTGCCTTCTTGACTGTCACATCGACGTGGGAAGTCCAGGATCATTGGTTATCATCAGTCTGTGGAACTTGATGCTCTTCACTCTCTCAACCTCAGTTCCATTGATATAGATGGGGGCATGTTCTCCTTTCTTTCTGAAGTCAATGATCAGTTCTTTAGTTTTGCTGTCGTTGTGAAAGGATTGTTTTCAACGCACCACGTCATCAAGGCCTCTATCTCCTCTCTGTATTTTCACTCATTGTTGTTACATATCCGTCCCACTATGGTGGTGTTGTCAGCGACCTTGTGTAGATGCTGTTTGTTCGGAATTTGGTAACACAGTCATAGGTGTGCAGGGAGTACAGTAGGGGGCTGAGGATGCACCCTTGGGGGGCTCCAGTGTTACGTGTTATTGTGGAGGAGGTACAGTTACCTATCCTCACTGTTTGCGGGCTATGGGTCAGAAAGCTGAGGATCCAGTTGCAGAGGGTGGAGTCGAGACCAAGGTCACGCAGTCTTGAGATCAGTCTGGAGGGAATAATGGTGTTGAAGGCGGAGCTGTAGTCAACAAGCAGGAGTCTGACGTAGGTGTCTTCGTTGTCCAGATGTTCCAGGGATGAGTGCAGGGCTAGGGATATGGCATCCTCTGTGGACCTGTTATGTTGGTAGGCAAATTATTGGAGATCGAGGCAGGTTGGGAGACTGAAGTTGATGTGGGCCATGTCTCTCGAAGCACTTCATGATTATTGAAGTCACAGCAATTGGGTGATAGTCATTAATGCACACTGCATGTGTTTTCTTGGGTATGGGGATGATGGTCTTCTTGAAGCAGGTAGGGACTTAAGCTTGTGGGAGGGAGAGGTTGAAGATGTTGGTGAAAATCTCTGCCAGTTGTCCCGTACAGGATTTGAGTGCTCGGCAGGGGAAACCGTCCAGGCCTGTTGCTTTCCTTGGGTTGACTTCCAGGAAGACTGATCCGATTTCTGAAACAGTGACAGAGGGAACAGGTGTGTCTGGGGCTGTCGGGGCAGGCATTGCCACGCCGGTGGTATTCTGCTCAAACTGAGCACAGAAAGCATTGAGTATGTCAGGGAGGGATGTGTCTTTGTTTGCTATCTTACGCTGTTTCATTTTGTATCCTGTAATGTCATTTAGGCTTTGCCAGAGATGACAGGAGTCAGTTTGGTAGGTTTGGGCCTCTAATTTGGTCCGGTAGCCTCCCTGATGGCTTTGCGGATGTCATATCTGGATTTTCTGTATTGGTCTGGGTCATTTGAAAATTTGGAGATATCACCCAAATTGTTAATGTATATTGCGAACAGTTGGGGTCCCAGCATTGAACCTTGCTTGTCACTGCCTGCCAGTCTGAAAATGACCCATTTATTCCAACTCTGTGCTTCTTGTCTGCCAACCAGTTCTCTATCCCTATCAACACATTACCTAAAATACCGTGAGCTTTAATTTTCCTTACAAATCTCTTGTGTGGAACATTGTCAAAAGCCTTTTGGAAGTCCAGATACGCAACATCTACTGATTCACCATTGTCTACTCTACTAGTCACATCCTCAAGATTTATCAAGCATGTAAATCCATGCTGACTAGGACCAATTCTGTCACTACTTTCAAAATGCTCGGTTATTGCATCCTTAATGATTGACTCCAGCATTTTCCCCACCACTGATATCAGGCTAACTGGCCTATAATTCCCCACTTTCTTTCTCCCTCCTTTTTTCAAGAGTGGAGTTACATTAGCTAACCTCCAGTCCATTGGAACTCTTCCAGAGTCTACAGAATGCTGGAAAATGATCACCAATGCATCTGCTATTTCCAGGACCACTTCCTTAGCTACTCTGGGTTGCAGAGCATCAGACCCAGGTGATTTTTTGTGTTTTAATCCCACCAATTTCCCCAATACCATTGCCTGACAAATAAGGATTTCCTTTAGTTCCTCCTTCATCTTGACCCTGTGTCCTGTAGCATTTCCTGAAGATTATTTGTGTCCTCCTTCGTGAAGACAGAT